ACCTGCTAAGGGATGTGAGCGAGAGTGAGGAGGTTTCCACTGACGTGGTTCGGGAATTGCGTCAGTCTGCTGATTTATCTCTGCGTGCCACCAGGAAATCGGCCAAACTGATTGGTCGATCTATGGCAGCCCTGGTAGCCGCAGAGAGACATTTATGGTTGTGTCAAACTAATTTAAAAGAAAAATCATTTCTTTTAGATGCTCCTCTCTTTCCTATGGGTCTTTTTGGTGATGCGGTGAATTCTGTTTTTGACAAATTCCAAGAACAGAAAAAACAAGCAGCTGCTTTTAAGAATTATATCCCATTAAAAGTTCACGTCCCTGGGGCTGCTGGGCGGGAGCAGCCCCGGCCGTCTACGAGCTCGTCACATAGGGCGCAGCAGAAGCAGAGTGTCGCGTCTCGTGTTCCCCCTGCTGGACAGTGGGCTCAGACGCGGCACTCTCAGCCGAAACCATCTGGGAATAGAACTGATCTGAGGACAGTTATATTGGCTAAGAAGGCTTCGGCTAAGAAGAAGTCCTGACGCCAAGGCGTTCAGGATACTGAGGGTGGTCCCCACCGAGGCGGAAAGGTGTTCACCTCTTTTTACGGTGCTCGTTCTTCCTCGGTGCCCTCAGGGGCCCGTCCTGCCAACCCCGCCTTCATGCCGGGGCGTAGGCGGTCCCAGCGAGCACTTTCCCGAGGGACGCTCGCTCCCTCTGAGGAGGGTCTCAGAGCAGTTAAACCAGTCGTTCCCTGCCGGTGCGCCGTTACAGGGCGCTGTGTTTGCTGCTCAAGTTACACCAGAGGCCAGTCTCGAGAGACTGGTACCCTTAGTAGATTTTCTGGCAGAGTGGAAAAGCCTTCCAAGAATATCTCATTGGGTCCTGCAGACAGTAGAAAAGGGTTATGCTATCCAGTTCAGGTGTCGTCCACCAAAATTCAGAGGGGTTCTGCACACTGTGGTGGGCCCCGAGCAGGCTCTGGTAATGGAACAAGAGGTGAAAACGCTCCTTCAAAAGGAGGCTATAGAACGGGTTCCTCCTCCCAGTTTGGAGTCAGGTTATTACAGCCGATATTTCATCGTTCCAAAGAAGGATGGGGGTTGCGTCCGATTTTAGACCTGCGCCTGTTGAATCGCTCGGTAGGGAAGCTAAAATTCAAGATGCTCACTATCAAGCAGATCGTGTCTCAAATCAGGTCCGAGGACTGGTTTGTCACGATAGATCTAAAGGACGCATACTTTCACATTTCCATCCTTCCACAACACAAGAAGTTCCTGAGGTTCGCCTTCGGGGGCGAGGCGTACCAATACAGGGTTCTTCCGTTCGGCCTAGCCTTATCTCCCCGCACTTTCACGAAATGCATGGATGCAGCACTAGTGCCTCTGAGGCTTCAGGGCATTCGCATTCTCAATTATATCGACGATTGGTTGATTTTAGCTCATACGGAGCAGATGGCGGTTCGGCATCGAGATGTCATCCTCGCTCATATCAGAAAGTTGGGGTTGAGGCTGAATGCAAAGAAAAGTGTACTATCTCCGTCTCAGAAGACCACTTTTCTGGGTGTCGTTTGGGATTCGGTTTCGATGCGGGCGCGACTCTCTCCGACCCGCATCGCTTCGATTCTCTCAGCTGTGAAGCAAATAAAGCTAGGCCAGCTACTCACTGTGAAACAGTTTCAGAGACTGTTGGGTCTGATGGCAGCAGCGTCCAACGTTATACCTTGCGGCCTGTTGTACATGAGACCGCTACAGTGGTGGCTCAGGACCAAGGGATTCTCCCCGAGGGGAAATCCGCTCCGCACGATCAGAGTCACGCGGCGCTGCCTTCGTGCTCTGGTCATGTGAAAAGAAACTTGGTTCCTATCCAAAGGTCCTGTGCTGGGGGCTCTTTGTCGTCGCGTAACGCTAACGACGGATGCTGGCGGTCATGAGTGGTCGTCCAGCCCAAGGTCTGTGGCAGGACCATCATCTTTCATGGCATATAAACTGTCTAGAGATGTTGGCGGTGTTTCAGGCTCTGAAGCACTTCCTAGCAGACCTGAGAGGTCATCGTGTGTTAGTTCAGTCAGACAACACGTCAGTGGTTTCTTATATCAATCATCAGGGGGGCCTGCGATCTCGCCGGCTTTACAAGTTGGCCCGTCAGATCCTCCTGTGGTCCCAGGGGAAGCTACTATCACTGAGAGCAATGTATCTTCCCGGGTATTTAAATGTGGTAGCGGACTCCCTGTCGAGGCAGGGGCCGAGGCCAGGGGAATGGAGACTCCACCCCGAGGTGGTGGAGCTCCTTTGGTTGAGTTTTGGTCGCGCCGAGGTGGACCTATTCGCTTCCAAGGAGACCACGCATTGTCATCTGTGGTTCTCCATCAGTCTTCCAGCCCCTCTGGGGTTGGACGCTATGGTGCAGCCGTGGCCGAGGTCACGCCTGTACGCCTTTCCCCCGATTGCTCTGCTACCAGGAGTTCTGGAGAGGGTTCGCCGAGACGGGGTCAGCCTACTATTAGTAGCCCCGTTTTGGCCGGCCCGAGTATGGTTCGCGGACCTGATTTCTCTCCTGGACGGCTCTCCTTTGGAGCTCCCGGTCAGGAGGGATCTACTCTCTCAGGCGGGCGGCACGACATGTCACCCCCGCCCAGAATTGTGGAAACTGTGGGCTTGGCCTCTGAGGGGGCCCAGCTCATAGGGTCTGGTCTCTCAACCGAGGTTGTTGAGACCATTCTTCACTCCAGAGCTCCATCCACGAGGAAGCTTTATGCCTTGAAGTGGAAACTTTTCACTTCTTGGTGTGGAGAACACCTGCAGGACCCAGTTAACTGCCCAGTGGGTGCAGTGCTGGAATTCCTGCAGGAGCGCTTCTCCACAGGGTTATCCCCCTCCACACTAAAGGTGTATGTGGCAGCACTAGCTGCTTACCACGTCCCTTTCAGTGGAGTTTCTCTTGGGAGACACCCGCTTATAACACGTTTCCTCCGTGGCACTTTGAGGCTGAGGCCAGCGGTTCGTACGAGGGTGCCGACCTGGGATCTGGCCATTGTATTGGAAGGTCTTTCCCTAGCTCCTTTTGAACCTATTGAAGAAGTTCCTGAGAAGTTTCTCACTTTTAACTTATCTTATCTTATCTTTTTACTTGCTATCTCCTCATTAAAAAGAATCGGAGATTTGCAGGCTCTGTCGGTGTCACCCTCGTGCCTGGAATTTTCGCCTGGCATGGTTAAGGCTGGTTGGCATGGTTTCTGCATCCTAGACCAGGTTACGTTCCCAAGGTCCCTACTAATGTTGTTAGACCTACGGTTCTGCAGGCTTTCTGTCCTCCTCCATTTATGTCATCGGACCAGGAGAAACTTAATTTACTCTGCCCTGTTAGGGCGTTAGACGCTTATGTCCACAGAGCTGCCCTGTGGAGGAAATCAGAACAACTGTTTGTATGTTTCGGGCCACCCAGGAAAGGGTGTCCTGCGTCTAAACAGAGAATGAGCAAGTGGGTGGTCGAGGCTATCTCACTTGCTTATGAGTCGGCTGGTCAGCCTTCACCTTTGGCTGTTCGAGCCCACTCTACTAGGAGTATGGCTGCTTCCAAAGCTCTATTGTCGGGGGTTTCCCTGAGTGATGTTTGTGATGCGGCTGGATGGTCTTCAACGCATACTTTTGTTAGGTTCTATGACCTAGACTTAAGTTCTACCCCTGGGGCACAGGTGCTCTCGTCCTCTGTGCGCTAGTCTCACATGACGGTCACTTGGTCCTATGGAAACGTGGGTATTCGCGTTCCCACAGCGTTTGATGCAGCTCGAAGTTCCCTTGAAAGGGAACGTCTCGGTTACGTATGTAACCCTAGTTCCCTGATAGGGAACGAGACGCTGCGTCCTTCTGCCATACTCCCGGCATTCCCGTTAAGCGCTCCTTCAGGCCTATCAGAAGCTGATGCGCTTGTGTTTTTGGGGTGTTTTATAGTTTCCTGGTCGATGACGTCACCCGCCTATGACGTTCCATCTCTCCATTGGGCTGATTCCATACGTGCTTCATGACGCACAACGCAGGGGCGTTCCCACAGCGTTTGACGCAGCGTCTCGTTCCCTATCAGGGAACTAGGGTTACATACGTAACCGAGACGTTTTATTCTAACTTCATGCATTCTTTTTTTATCAACACTTGAATGTGGGTTATTTTCATTAAAAAAGCTGAGAAAATCACATTTCCGTTGAAGGCTACGACTGGATGGGATTCAGAACGATGATCAAGCACAGATGGAGTAGATCGAGCCCATCAACAGCTTCACAGTCCTGTAGCTCGTCCTGGGTCGACATTTCATTCAGTAAAGTTAGGCAGTTTTGAACTGATATGCCGTTTGGAGATCCTGTACTCTTCCAGAAGATGTGTAATAGCCGTATAACAGTGAAAACATGGATTGGGAGAAAGAGTTAAAAACAACTTATTCATGGGCAAGCACCACACACATTAAAATAAAAATGTTTTAAAAGTGTTAACTAAAGCAGTGTTTCCCAACCCTGTTCCTGGAGGCACACCAACACTACACATTTTCCACCTCTTCCTAATCGATCACACCTGAATCAACTCATCAGCTCGTTTAGTAGAGACTCCAAGACCAGAAATATATGGGTCAGAAAAGGGAGACATCCAAAATGTGCACTGTTAGTGTGTGCCTCAAGGAGCAGGGTTGGGAAACACTGAACTAAAGGATAAAACAAAACAAAAAAAAGTGTTTTTTGTAAGATTTTACCTTTCTGTAAAAGTTCACTCTATGTAAGTCCATATTTTATTTGTCATTGAGTAACTATACTATATAATATATCACCAAGAGTCGGAGCAGATGCAGATGCAGTTCGTGATGAGCAGCGTTTACTGTGAATCGAGCCGCTCTGAGACACTGCACACTGGTGGATCATGAGCTGCTCGCGTGTAAACGAACACACTCTGAAACACACAGCGCATATATTTAATCACAACCTTTGCAGCCCTAGTTAAATAGTTAACACTCTCTCTCTGTGTTTCTGTTTGCAGACTCAGCCAGCCATATGTTTACCCTCAGGCCTTCCTGCAGCCCAGTCTGGTTCTGCCGGCACAGGTCACCTCCTCCTCCTCCTCCTCCTCCTCCTCCACGACTCCTTACCTTGACTTCAGCACTGCCTACAACCAGTACGCCTCCTCAGCCTTCGAGCAGTATCCCTACGCCCCCTCGCCAGGCTTCCTGAGCTACATGTACCCGCCGGGCACCCCCGGGCTGTCCTCCGCCTCCTCCACCCCGCTCTCCGTCGGCGGCGCCCCGACCGCAGCCTTCATCCAGATCCCTCCTCATCAGCTCCACACCGACCGCCTTTAGGACAGGCCACAAGGACCGACCGGGTAATGCTGAAATTGCACTAGAACATCCTCATTATGGGACAGGGAACTGTGACATCATCAGCCTGTGACTGGGGTCACATACAAAGGGCTTCAAGTTCTTCTGCTTTTCATTATCCTTCAGTTTATGGACTTTTTTCTTATGATTAATTATTATGTCATTATTGTTAGAAGATTGTTGAAGAACCAATATTAGATTGCAATTCAGATGGATTCAGGGAATGATAGGAAACGACAGGTTATACACACACACTACCGTTCAAAGGTTTGGGAGCAGGAGGCTTTTTTCAATGTTTTTATGCTCACCTAGGCTGCTTTTATTTACAGTTTTGCATTATTACAATTTAAAAAGTGTATCGTCAAAAATTTGAATATATTGTAAAATGTCATTTATTCCTGTGATCAAAGCTGAATTTCCAGCATCATTACTCCAGTCTTCAGTGTCACATGATCCTTCAGAAATCATTCTGATATGAGGATTTGATGCTCAAGAAACATTTATTACTATTATCAATGTTGTAAACAGTTGTGCTTGATATTTGTGTGGAAATGTGATACTTTGATGAATAGAAATTTCAAAAGAACAGCATTAATTAGAACTTTTCTGACATTATAAATGTCTTTACTATCACTTTTGATCAATTTAATGCGTCCTTGCCGAATAAAAGTATTAATTTCTTTTAAAAACAAAGAAACATACTTAATCCAAACTTTTGAATGGTAGTGTGTATATTCAGTATACGCCGTAAAAGAATGACAGGTTTTTTTAAGGCTGTATGTTGTGCATATATGCAGGAAGATCTATTAAGCACAAAGCCTTATAGACTTATCCACTTTTCTTTGATATAGCTGTTCTTATGACTCAAATGTGCTTCCCTCTCCCTGAGCAAAAACATGTGAATTTTTTAACCAGACTTTTTCCAAGAATAGATAACTTTTCTAGAAATGTAGCACTGCATAGGATTTGTAAATCTGCTTATCGCTGTCTATCGCCTCCGTCAAAGGTCTCTTCAGTTCCCGTAGCTCCTCTTTCCTTAAGATTCATCGCAATCTTAAGTAGCTCCGATTAGATTGTTAACATTAATCCAGCATTCAGTAACATGGATGCAAGATGCGCTGTAGCTCGCCTGCGAATAATCATGAGGAAATAGACATTAAAACATTGAGTATTAATCATATTCTAATCCTGTCTTATACGTGATGCTTTTTAGACTGTTTTGGTCAATATCTACATCTGCTTAAAGGACAAAAGAGAGAGTATTGTAACAAATGTCAGTGGTTGCCATTGGTATCGCTCCACAAATGACACTACAGGACAAAACGCCAGCAGGAACATGCAGGAAAACATGAGAAAAGTCTTGGTTTGAGAGGACTTTTGGACAGCGCAAGACGATATATTGCCAAGACAATCTGTTTGTTTTCACAAGAACAGTGTTGTCGTTAATCTACCCTGCAACAACAAACTCAAAATATGAAAATACCTTACAGTGAAAGCCATAAGACCAGAACATGCAAAACAAGTAATAAAATCATTTACAAAAACTGAGCTTCATTGATGTGGTTATTTTGACGGTTACGTACGGCGGCTTTCACTGTTCCACTTTTCTGACGATGCATTATTAATGATTCATTTTTATTCACATGGTTATGTTATTATATCTGCTCCTCAACTCTTTTCAACTTGTCAGTTGAGTTTGTTTCTCTTCTTTGGACCTTCCTTTGTTTCTTCAGACGGAAGTGTACATGTGCTTACGATGAATAACCAGTTTAACTTCCATTAATGGCTGCGTCAACGGAAGAGCTGGAGTGAATCCAAGAGTTCATGCACATGCAAACAAACCTATGCAAATGAAGGGAATGGAGGGCATTTGGGCTTTATATATTTTTGTGAGTAGCCAAACCATCACTATAGAAACTACAGGCCTCAGACCTCAATCCAAATGAGCACCTGTACACGTCTTCACAAACAGTCCTCCAACCAGACCAAATGCTTACCGGTATGCATTGTGCAATGTTCTTTTTTCTTTTTCTTTTTCTTTTTCTTTTTTTTTTGGACAATAGGCCTTCCTTTTGTGCACCACCTACATGTCAAGTTAGAAAAACGAATACTGGCTGATAATGAACACATTTATGACCTTCACTGTATTTAGGCAAATGAGTGTTCAAATTAGACATGACAGTTCAGGCTTTAGTTGGTCAGCTTAAAGGGACCGTTCACCCTAAAATAAAAATTGTTTACATCTAGTGTTGTTCTAATGCAGTATGCCGTTCTTTTCTTTCTTTTTGTCGTCCAAAAAGTACGAATGGCATAGTGTATTGACGGTCATCCAAAAGTAGGAGTGAATGCCGATTAAACGTTTTATTTTTGTAAGCAAAATATAAATGAATGCAGTTTTTTTCATTACATTATATCAGAAGACTAATGTATAAAGCTTCAGTATAATCTTGTTTATGTTAAATAAACCTGCTCCAGAATTAGGGGAATGTGGCGCACAGATTTACTCAGCAAGGCAGGCGGTCTGATGATATGATCGGTGTGTATGGTGACATTTTATGCTCGTGCATACTAAGTGTTTTTTTAAGTACACTAGGTGAAAGCATTGTGCGCTGATGTGAAGCAGCTTACATGCACAGAAAGAGCCATGTGTTGCAACAAATGCTTCACTATAACCTTTTTATAAATACTTAAATACTCAAATTAGCAGCTGTTGCTGATGATTACCATGACAAGTCTGCGCATTCACAATATTGGAAAGATCAAACCCCCTGATAAACACAAAAAATCAATTGGCAGATGCACCACAAAGTTTGGTTTGTCATAACTGTCAGACAGTTCTACATTTGGAAATTGGGCCTATGTAAAATGTCGAAAATAGGAGTGTCATGCTAGAAACATGTTTGCAATGTTAAATCATGCTAACATGCTACATCATGCTAGCAATGTGCTAAATTATGTTAGCAATATGTTAAATCATGTTAGCAATGTGCTTAATCATGCTAGAAAAGCATAAATCTGAGTCTGAGGACATCAGCTCCGGGTAGAACGTCACAGGTTTTATGGTTACAACATGGTGTGAACGCAGCATAAGCTCATTGTTTTGGTTCAGAAGGGAAAAGGCGGCTGCTGTTTGTTTGTTTGCGCTCTGTGACTGTGTGTCTACAACTCTGCATCCCTTTAGGTGTGGAAATACATATGTTGACAGGCTGGTAGGACATCGACATTCGGACCGAACGAACACGATTCTGAAACTTCCACTGAAGATATTTGTACATGTTTTAATATTTAGACCACTTTTATCATTGATTGCTTTCAGGATGTGAAGAGAGATTCAACCAGTATAGGAAAGAAAAGACAAATGTCCGACCCTACTGTCACAGGCTGGTTGCAGCAGAGATGAAACTGGATCTAAGTGCAGCAGTCTTTATTGAAAACAAAATCTAACGGAAATACTCAGGTTTCTCTGAAATACCAAAACATGAACCAGTAAATAGCAACGACGACAGACAATAGGCTTTATGCACAGCTGCACTACTACCTGAACTTAAGCCAGCTCCTTTGTTTCCTGTCTGCCATTATTGGACAAACTGATTAATCCAGGTGTGCCTGGTTATTGTTACTGGGGCCAGGCACACCTGGATTAATCAGTTTGTCCAATAATGGCAGACAGGAAACAAAGGAGCTGGCTAAAGTTCAGGAAGTAGTGCAGCTGTGCATAAAGCCTATTGAACGGGCCGTTTCAGAAAGGAGGTTAACTGAAAACGCAGAGTATGTTGACCCTGAAATGAGGGAAACTCTTGATTCAGAATGGGAGGTTTGCCAGACCCGAGAAAGCAGGGTCAGTCAAGCCCGTTTCTGAAAGAGAGGTAACTTTTACTCAGAGTCAGTTACCATGGTAACTTACTCTGTGAACCTAACCTGGGGTGCGTTTCCCGAAAGCATCGTTAGTCAACTATGGTCGCAAGTTGGTCGCAAATCCCATTGAACTCTATTGGTAACGACGGAACTTGCGACCATAGTTGGCTAACGATGCTTTCGGGAAACGCACCCCTGATCAGGAACAGGTTTTCTTAAATAGGTAAACCCAGAGTTTCTTTAATTATCCTCGTCCTCCCCCTTTTTAAACCATAAACGGTTGTGTTAAAATACTAATTTATTCATTCATGCTACAAAAATAATCGTAATGCATTGGTAGATAATTAGCAAAATGCCCTTACATTCTTTTTTTCCCCAGGAAAGACTAAATACCTTGTGTCATTTTACTTATGTAGAAAATGCATCTTCATTTAAGAATCTTTAGAATCTTTATTTTGACAGGAAACAACAAGACAAAAATGTTAAGTAAGAAAAGGATTTGTTTGCAGTGCAGTACATTCATTCATTGCACATTTCCCTCTATAACATCGGGGTGGGGATGCAGAGCACATTAGTAAGGCTCACTCTCCTTCTGAGAATTTTTGTGTTGTTTCCTGGGCACAAACCCGTGAGAGCCAACAAAGAGGAGATTCAGATTGCAGGTCAGTGGTGTAGAAATCAGTTTAAATGAGGATAATCTGATAAATGACATTCACTTGATAACATCTTGCTGCAACCTCTGGAAGTAACCTAATAATTCGGATTTCCATTGTGGTTGGATGCACTGATGACACACATATTCCCACCATCGCTCCTTCTGAAAAGGAAGCGGATTACTGAATGGGAATGGAAGGATGCCAGATGGACGGGCAGAGATATATGCTGTAACCACCACCACAGCTGTCAAATAAACACAAATTATTCACAATTTATTTGGTCATCTTTATTTCCTACAATAAAAAAGCAAGTTATTCTTTTTGCTGTTGGATTTTAATATTCTTCCAATAATTGGTATTGTGGCCATCTCCTCTTCATCACCTCCTCTTGCTGTTGGCTGAGTAGAAGTCAAATGTTAATGTCTTTACCCTATAAGAAATGGAACAGGTTGGATTAGAGAACATTTAATTATGTGAAAAGAGCATTAGACTATGTGGGAAAAGCTGCTGCACACTGAATGATATTTATTTAAGATGTCAAATGTTTGTTAAGTCATGTAGCGTACAGCCATTAACCTTTTATGCTTAAAGATTTAACTGATTTTG